GAAGCCGATTAGAAGGGTTCAGGCCCTGTCTACCTCCCCGGACGAAACCTTACCCTTCGGCAAAGCCTCGTCCGAGTTCGACAGAAGGCGTGCGCAGTCAAAGACCGCTAAACACCACTGAGTATTTATCATTTCACCCACGGGAAACGAATATGGCACAAGGCCGGTTTTATTGTGGGTATCCCCGAGCCCGTAGGCTCGGCCAAAAAAATAGCCTTTGAAGCCGATTAGACGGGTTCAGGCCCCGTCTACCTCCCCGGACGAAACCTTACCTTCGGCAAAGCCTCGTCCGAGTTCGACAGAAGGCGTGCGCAGACAAAGACCGCTAAACACCACTGAGTATTTATCTTTTCACCCACGGGAAAAGAATATGGCACAAGGCCGGTTTTAATGTGGGTTTCCCCGAGCCCGTAGGCTCGGCCAAAAAAATAGCCTTTTGAAGCCGATTAAACGGGTTCAGGCCCCATCTACCTCCCCCCTGACGAAACCTTGCCCTTCGGCAAAGCTTCGTCTGTTCCTCTCTGCTTACGCAGAGTTCGACAGAAGGCGTGCGCAGTCAAAGACCGCTAAACACCACTGAGTATTTATCTTTTCACCCACGGGAAAAGAATATGGCACAAGGCCGGTTTTAATGGGGTTTCGCCGAGCCCGTAGGCTCGGCCAAAAAAATAGCCTTTTGAAGCCGATTAAACGGGTTCAGGCCCTGTCTACCTCCCCGGACGAAACCTTGCCCTTCGGCAAAGCTTCGTCCGGGTTCCTCTCTGCTTACGCAGAGAGTTCGACAGAAGGCGTGCGCAGTCAAAGACCGCTAAACACCACTGAGTATTTATCTTTTCACCCACGGAAAAGAATATGGCACAAGGCCGGTTTTAATGTGGGTTTCCCCGAGCCCGTAGGCTCGGCCAAAAAAATAGCCTTTTGAAGCCGATTAAACGGGTTCAGGCCCTGTCTACCTCCCCGGACGAAACCTTGCCCTTCGGCAAAGATTCGTCCGGGTTCCTCTCTGCTTACGCAGAGAGTTCGACAGAAGGCGTGCGCAGTCAAAGACCGCTAAACACCACTGAGTATTTATCTTCTCACCCACGGAAAAGAATATGGCACAAGGCCGGTTTTTATGTGGGTTTTCCCGAGCCCGTAGGCTCGGCCAAAAATATAGCCTTTTGAAGCCGATTAAACGGGTTCAGGCCCCATCTACCTCCCCCGGACGAAACCTTGCCCTTCGGCAAAGCCTCGTCCGGGTTCCTCTCTGCTTACGCAGAGAGTTCGACAGGAGGCGTGTGCAGTCAAAGACCGCTAAACACCACTGAGTATTTATCTTCTCACCCACGGAAAAGAATATGGCACAAGGCCGGTTTTTATGTGGGTTTTCCCGAGCCCGTAGGCTCGGCCAAAAATATAGCCTTTTGAAGCCGATTAAACGGGTTCAGGCCCTGTCTACCTCCCCCTGACGAAACCTTGCCCTTCGGCAAAGCTTCGTCCGGGTTCCTCTTCTTACGCAGAGAGTTCGACAGAAGGCGTGCGCAGTCAAAGACCGCTAAACACCACTGAGTATTTATCTTCTCACCCACGGAAAAGAATATGGCACAAGGCCGGTTTTTATGTGGGTTTTCCCGAGCCCGTAGGCTCGGCCAAAAATATAGCCTTTTGAAGCCGATTAAACGGGTTCAGGCCCTGTCTACCTCCCCGGACGAAACCTTGCCCTTCGGCAAAGCCTCGTCCGGGTTCCTCTCTGCTTACGCAGAGAGTTCGACAGGAGGCGTGTGCAGTCAAAGACCGCTAAACACCACTGAGTATTTATCTTCTCACCCACGGAAAAGAATATGGCACAAGGCCGGTTTTTATGTGGGTTTCCCCGAGCCCGTAGGCTCGGCCAAAAAAATAGCCTTTTGAAGCCGATTAAACGGGTTCAGGCCCTGTCCACCTCCCCGGACGAAACCTTGCCCTTCGGCAAAGCCTCGTCCAGGTTCCTCTGCTTACGCAGAGAGTTCGACAGGAGGCGTGTGCAGTCAAAGACCGCTAAACACCACTGAGTATTTATCTTCTCACCCACGGAAAAGAATATGGCACAAGGCCGGTTTTTATGTGGGTTTTCCCGAGCCCGTAGGCTCGGCCAAAATATAGCTTTTGAAGCCGATTAGACGGGTTCAGGCCCTGTCTACCTCCCCGGACGAAACCTTGCCCTTCGGCAAAGCCTCGTCCGGGTTCCTCTCTGCTTACGCAGAGAGTTCGACAGGAGGCGTGTGCAGTCAAAGACCGCTAAACACCACTGAGTATTTATCTTCTCACCCACGGAAAAGAATATGGCACAAGGCCGGTTTTTATGTGGGTTTTCCCGAGCCCGTAGGCTCGGCCAAAAATATAGCCTTTTGAAGCCGATTAGACGGGTTCAGGCCCTTCTACCTCCCGACGAAACCTTGCCCTTCGGCAAAGCTTCGTCCGGGTTCCTCTTCGCTTACGCAGAGTGTTCGACAGGAGGCGTGTGCAAAAAGACCGCTAAACACCACTGAGTATTTATCTTCTCACCCACGGAAAAGAATATGGCACAAGGCCGGTTTTTTATGTGGGTTTTCCCTGAGACCGTAGGCTCGGCCAAAAATATAGCCTTTTGAAGCCGATTATACGGGTTCAGGCCCTGTCTATCTCCCCGGACGAAACCTTGCCCTTCGGCAAAAGCTTCGTCTGGGTTCCTTCGCTTACGCAGAGTTTCGACAGGAGGCGTGTGCAGTCAAAGACCGCGGGACGCCACTGAGTATTTATCTTCTCACCCACGGAAAAGAATATGGCACAAGGCCGGTTTTTATGTGGGTTTTCCCGAGCCCGTAGGCTCGGCCAAAAATATAGCCTTTTGCCGATTATACGGGTTCAGGCCCTGTCTACCTCCCCCTGACGAAACTTTGCCCTTCGGCAAAGCTTCGTCTGTTCCTCTTCGCTTACGCAGAGTTTGACAGGAGGCGTGTGCAGTCAAAGACCGCTAAACACCACTGGGTATTTATCATTTCACCCACGGGAAACGAATATGGCACAAGGCCGGTTTTATTGTGGGTTTCTCCGAGCCCGTAGGCTCGGCCAAAAAATAGCCTTTTGAAGCCGATTAGACGGGTTCAGGCCCTGTCTACCTCCCCGGACGAAACCTTGCCTTCGGCAAAGCCTCGTCGGGTTCCTCTCTGCTAATGCAGAGAGTTCGACAGAAAAAGGCGTGCGCAGTCAAAGACCGCGAGACGCCACTGAGTATTTATCTTCTCACCCACGGAAAAGAATATGGCACAAGGCCGGTTTTATTGTGGGTTTCTCCGAGCCCGTAGGCTCGGCCAAAAAAATAGCCTTTTGAAGCCGATTAGACGGGTTCAGGCCCTGTCTACCTCCCCGGACGAAACCTTGCCCTTCGGCAAAGCCTCGTCCGGGTTCCTCTCTGCTAATGCAGAGAGTTCGACAGAAGGCGTGCGCAGTCAAAGACCGCGAGACGCCACTGAGTATTTATCTTCTCACCCACGGAAAAGAATATGGCACAAGGCCGGTTTTTATGTGGGTTTCCCGAGCCCGTAGGCTCGGCCAAAAAATAGCCTTTTTGAAGCCGATTAAACGGGTTCAGGCCCTGTCCACCTCCCCGACGAAACCTTGCCCTTCGGCAAAGCTTCGTCCGGGTTCCTCTCTGCTTACGCAGAGAGTTAGACAGGAGGCGTGTGCAGTCAAAGACCGCGGGACGCCACTGAGTATTTATCTTCTCACCCACGGAAAAGAATATGGCACATGGCCGGTTTTTATGTGGGTTTTCCCGAGCCCGTAGGCTAGGCCAAAATATAGCCTTTTGAAGCCGATTAAACGGGTTCAGGCCCTGTCCACCTCCCCGGACGAAACCTTGCCCTTCGGCAAAGCTTCGTCCGGGTTCCTCTCTGCTTACGCAGAGAGTTAGACAGGAGGCGTGTGCAGTCAAAGACCGCGGGACGCCACTGAGTATTTATCTTCTCACCCACGGAAAAGAATATGGCACAAGGCCGGTTTTTATGGGGTTTTCCGAGCCGTAGGCTCGGCCAAAAAATAGCCTTTTGAAGCCGATTATACGGGTTCAGGCCCTGTCTACCTCCCCGGACGAAACCTTTGCCCTTCGGCAAAGCTTCGTCCGGGTTCCTCTCTGCTTACGCAGAGAGGTCGACAGGAGGCGTGCGCAGTCAAAGACCGCGGGACGCCACTGAACCCAACTGGCGACTGCTACTACTACTTATTATATGTGAGAGAGTCCATTACAATAGAATAGGTATTATGGTATAACAGTCCCCCGTAGAAAAAATTCTAAACTTGCGTGTATGTGTGCATTTTTGTGTGAATAACAGAAGGTACCCGCAAACAATGAAGCTATTCACGTAAATCTCCCCTAAAAAAACAAAATCAAGAAACATTTTCAAATTGAACAACACTTTCATAGAATATATAGAACTACGAAATCAGAAACTGAAATAACATTAATAACATTAATTTTTTTTATTTTTAAATTCCACCAACATACTACCACACCTCAAAAAATATAACATTAGCCTAGAGGAGATAACTATAATCACTTTTCCAGAAAAATAGAAACTTTATTTACATTATTCGGACTATTGTCCTCATCTCTGTCGCCATATTTATTACAACGTTTCGGCCGTTGTACGCTCCGGCCTTCTTCAGGTGGTTAGAATGTTGAACTGAACCCTTTATTTCGCTCACTGGGGTAGACTGTTCTAGTTCCACGTGCCATGTTTAATGGATGTCAGTTATCTCCTGTTAATTCCCCTCTCCACGTTCTCCAGCGCCTTATCCAGATATTGAACTCACACTCTTTGGGTCCTGTCACTGGATCTAACCAACACCTTTATCCACTGTACCATGTGTCCTTTCAAGGAGGAGGTGGCCTGAATCTTCCGGAGTCAGGTCGGGGTTACTGTTTGAGTCGTTATGATGCAAAACTCAAAATCGGCGATGAGGATAGTGCCTCACTGAAGACCTCCCTTGACGTATCTAAAAAGTATTATGGAGCTATATGTATAACTCCTTGTGAATGGTCATTGCTTGTTTTGTATTTGATTCATCAGGCATCCATCCGTAAGTTGGCTCCTATTGGCGGTGTTGATCTCTCTTACTCTCTCTCTTTCTCTCTCTCTCTCTCTCTCTCTATCTATCTATCTCTTAGTAGATGCGGTCTACGTGTTTTCGATCTCGATGACAGTGAAATCAGTAGGAATGCGGAAATAGGAATGTTAGATTTGACAAACTGGAATCGTCGAGACTTGTTTGTTTCAAACGAGGCAGTCTGTGTTAATTTCGCCCGAAAGATGTTTTCTTTGTCGGCTTCACTTCTTGATTAAAAGAACGATCTAGCCGGTTGTTTATTTTCTTTTTATATCTCAGGTATTTATATACAAATATACTCTTCTTCAGTGTGCGGCAGAAATACCTTCCACATTTCAAAGGCTAACAAAAATCACTTCTAATATTTTAGCTTTCAGATTTCACACTTTCATTATACCGCATATAAATCTCAAATATCAACATAGATACAAAGCAGCGATGAAAGTAACTTATTTAGATAATACCATACATATAGATAACAGTACAGCAGTGAGTCAGAAGAGAAGTGTTTTGTACGATCTTGTGTACTTTGTTTCCAGCATGTCCCGCAGCAGCGTCCAGCAGAAATTCTCTATGATTTTGCTGTTCTACCTGCCTTAGTAATTTTTTTCCATCTAAGTAATATCTTGATGGAACTTTTCTTCGTGCTTATCACTCATTGCCCTGAGGTTCAGAGTAAAGAAGTTAAGGTGGGATTGGAGAAAGTGAATTCTGACTGACATTCAGCGTCCCATATTCCTATAAGTCTGTAACAACTTCTCGATACACTCTTGATAATCTGGTACCCTTATGTTACCGAGCAAGCCATTGCAGACTAGCTTAAATGGTTACCATGTAATCTGTTCATTTAAAGTAAGAAGCTCCTCAAATATCTTTCCTTCAGCATTTCTCGGATCTGAGGTCCAACGAAGATGCACTCTTTGAGCTTAGCAAAACTGAGAGTAAGGAATAGACTGCAGAGGTTTTGGAATACAGTACCATACAGAGGATTTTCTTTGGTACCTCGAGTTTTATCTCTTTGTCGTGCTTTGACACAGCCTGACTGTAATTCGTGGAGTCCGATTACACACCCATAAGGACCCCAACGATGCTGTTGTGTGCAAAGAGACTCCACCGGTACCGCTTGTATTTGACAGATTCCATCAGATGTACTGAGTGGGCAATGGGAATGCTGGGATATTTATTCCCCTTGTACAGGAGAATAGCTTTCAGATTTCGCTTGGAAGTACCTATGAAAGGTTGCCAATCTGATGGATTGTGTGGGAACCCAAGGATGGTGAACAAGCCAGAGATATTTGGGAAGTAGCACAGCCTGTTTTCCATGTGGAAGAATGAGGTGATCCGTGACCAATTTCCACTACTGGAAGGTCTGACTGCTGCGTAGATACGTACAAATCTCAGGAAAGGTCTTCTTGATGGATCCAGTGGGACTCGCTGCCACTTTCCCCTGAATAAACAGAGATATTGTCATCAAAACTGACATACATGGCAGAATTTTTCTCTGAAGTCAGTTCTTCATATGATGAATGAATAAAATCTTTATGCGCTAGTGGTGTAGGGACAGGGAGATAAGGAGTGGGAAACAGGCCTCATAGCTGAGAGAAGTTTGGGATATTTTTAGAAGCACTGAGAATATTGATATTTGTTAGACAAAAAATAACAATAATCGGCATGGCTTCATGGCTCTCTCTAGACCATCGGGACAACAAAGTTGAAAGCTGCTTTCTTTTGATGAAACCATGAAGTTTGTCCTTTGTAACAGAGTTTATAACAAATGTGTGGGTCCCAAAATTTGCTCTGATCTCCAATGTTACAGTACTAATACAGAAAGTGAGTAGTTTTGAAGAGAGAACTAATTGTTTGGCGCTGTGCAACTGTCGTGAAATGCCCACTCACGTAACAGAATGATTTTGTCTTGATACATCCTTGGTGCTCTGAAATCATTGAAGCCATTGTATATATATATATATATATATACACACACACACACACACACACACACACACATATATATATATATATTAGACGCAGGGTCGAGCGTAGGACACAGAAACGCATCCATTACGTTTTTTTTCTTAATAAAGAACATCAAATCATAAATAGTACATATCTAGCAGCGTGGTAGACATTTACGTACTTTTTATAGATGTATATCTCCAAAACTAAAGGTGAAAACGGTTTTCGTATCTGAAATCAGTACCCCAAAATTAGGTTTGAAAAACTATTTTTATGTTTGCCTCAATTCCTTTGTAAAGAAGTGTAATAGAATGTATTTTATCATGAATATCTACTTTCAGAGACATATTTTGATTTATATTTCAAGAATTAAATAAGAAGGTGTGGAGTCTGGCAAAGGTAAATAGATAGGAACCGATTTAAAAATGTCTATGTAGGCAGTCGCAACTGACAAAGAATTAAAAAAATAATGTATTTCTTTAAAAATTACTAAGAACAGCATGTGAATACAGGCGCGCTGATTTAGATAAACAATTTATTTCTTTGCAAGCCAAATCGAAAAATGTTCTTTTTTTTTCACGGTTTGAGAGAATGTAATAAAGGAAGCCAGAGAAGAATTTTTTTGTCAGGTTTGTCTAATAAGATTTAGTTAGACGAGAAAAATTCGTGCACACGGGCAAACACACGCACATGATAAACACACACACACACACACACGCACACACACACACACACACACACACACACACACACACACACACACACACACACACACACACACACGAAGAATACGTCATTTGTTTTCGATTATACCCATGTTCGTATGTGAAAAAATTAATATAAAAACTGAATTTCTATTTTCCTATCATCTTCGTTGGTGGAACTCGTTGACGAGTATTGGGGTGCGGATCGAAATTTCCTTCTGTGTGAAATGAGTCCTATGAATCCACGGCATGGTAGGATAGGAGGGTCCAGGAGATGGGGAGCGCTGGATTTTCTTTGGCCTATCTTCGTCTATTCTATTTGTCTTCTGCCGTTTTTGAAGAGTTTTCTTTTTCGTGGAATGTTCATCTCCAATTGGTTCTATCTGAAGCTTCCGTCTCCCAATTGACAGGAGCGATTTCTGACTTTTTCTCATTTTTTGAATTAAGCCATCCTTGAATCGACGACCTGGGGCTCCACATGGTCTTTTTGCGAGATGCGAGCAGCGAGAAGAGTAATTTGTTTGGGAGGTAGACAGATATTTAGCATCCAAGTAAGGTGTCTGGCCAATTCAAGTCTTTCCTAACACACACACACACACACACACACACACACACACACACACACATATATATATATGCAAATATATATAAATATATATATATATATATGTATATATTTATGCAAGTATATATATATATATGTATATATATATATATATATATATATATATATATATATATATATATATATATATATATATATATATATATATATATATATATATATATATATGCAAATATATATATATGCAAGTATATATATATGCAACTATAAAGTAGTCTGTTTTTATTTAAATTATTTGCTCTGGATTTACATTGAGCTCTCTGGATTTAATCCTCCTTAGGTTTACCCATACGGATTACCTAGTTTTTCATAAACTATATGCAAGTATATATATATATGCAAGTATATATATATATATATATATATATATATATATATATATATATATATATATATATATATACATATATATATATATATATATATATATATATATATATATATATATATATATATATATATATATACATTTTTATCCAAAGACAGACAGCATGAAACAGACTGTCGCCGCTTAGTGTTGAACTCAGTGACCAATTTAATATTTACACTCCTGTGTCTTTGTTATTGACCACTTTTTACCCATAAATATAGTATACCATAACGCTATATTTTTAATTAACTCTCTCTCTCTCACTCACACACACACACATACACACAAATACATATATATATATTATATATGTATATAGTGTAATTCTAGTTGTAATATATATATATATATATATATATATATATATATATATATATATATATATAACTGCAGTGTACTGCTGAATTTTTCGAACAGACAGACTTCACCAATTTTGAACGAATGACATAACTCTTTTGCACGAGATGATAAATTTTCTGCACCCCTTCTGTATATATATATATATATATATATATATATATATATATATATGTGTGTGAGCACGGATATCTGAGCGAAGTAGACCAATCCATCTGATTACAAAAACACTAATGCATATTTTCTGCAAACAATTTTTTATGCTTTTTTCCCCTCCATCTTTCTAAGATTTTGTTATATCTAAACTACGTAAAAATAACCAATACGCTGACATAAGCAAAATGTGTTCGAATCTCATAAATGCCTCGTTGTTGCATTTTTCTTTTCGAAATAATATTTTTTTCATACAACAACTGTGAAAGTAAAAACAAAGTTAGAGAATAAAAAAGATGTTGAGAGAAAAATCAGAATTGCACCCAGTAGCTAGAAATAAGAAGTTAACAGTTTAAAAATAAAAAATAAACATCAAAAACAAAATCTTGCAAATGCATCGAATCCATATTCGAAATGATTTATTTCAATGTTAGCCGTTCTAGTTTGCACATCAAAAATCATGTAGACCCATTGTATATAAATATCTGTGTGTGAGAGCATGTTACATTACAATTAAGCATCTTACCGTTTACTCGCAAAGCATCAATAGATGGCTTCCGCTGTTGTAAATCAATAATGTTTTAATTTTGCATGTAAAATGGTATGTTCACCATTACTGAAGATAATGACACATCCCCCCACCAAAAAAAAAAAAAAAAAAAAAAAAAAAAAAAGCAAATAAACAATGGGATGTGCAGATAGTGTAACGGAGAATGTAGAATCGACGAGAAGCGTTCAAGTTTCAGGGTAGTCTGCTGCGTTCACTTTCGCAAATGCATGCATCCGGCTCCATTCCGCCGAGGTTAAAGATTAAATAGCAGAGTAGACTGTACAAATGCAGTTACATTTTATTCAATTATATTAGGTTGGTGCAAAAATAATGACGTAAGAATGTCGTTTTTTGACGTTAAAAAATAAGTCAAAAAACGACATTATTTTTGCACCAATCGAATATATTCACCTTTATTTATTAATGAATTGCTACCTCATTCGATTTGGGAAGCAGTTCGATATCTTCTGAGAAAAATGCCGTATATTTGTTATGAAAAAGCTTTTGATTAACTCTTGGAT